TCTGATACGCAACCTATGCAATGGCGGAAGAGAAGCATATTTTTCACTCTTCCTTATTGGGAATCTAATTTGCTACGACACAGTTTGGATGTTATGCACATTGAAAAAAATGTGTGCGATAATGTGCTATATACGTTGCTCAATGAAGCTGGAAAGTCCAAAGACCATCTCGCAGCTAGAAAAGATTTACGGGCCTGGGGAATTCGTGAAGAGGCTTGGCCTGATGAAAACGACAAGTTTCAGCCAGCTAAATTCACCTTGACAAAGCAGAACAAGGATATCTTCCTCTCGACGTTGAAGAACATAAAAGTACCAGATGGATATTCTAGCAACATCTCAAGGTGTATCGATCTGCAGGCTCGAAAGGTTACTGGGTTGAAAAGTCATGACTCTCATGTTCTTATGCAACAGTTACTTCCATTGGCCTTGAAAAACACACTTCCTTCTGATGTATCGGTGGTTTTGGTAGAATTATGTTCATTTTTCAAGAAGTTGTGTGCGAAGGTCTTGGTAGCGGAAGAGCTTGATCAGCTGCAAAATAAAATTATTCTTACACTTTGTCACTTGGAGATGATATTTCCTCCATCATTCTTTACTGTTATGGTTCACTTGACTGTCCACCTTGTTCGAGAAGCAAAGGTTGCTGGCCCAGTTCACTATCGATGGATGTACCCTATAGAGAGGTACTAGATTATCTTTTATTCCCGCCTCTTTAAATTTCACATTGTTCTTTCATTTACTCGTAATTATTAATGCAATTTTAACTTACAGGTACTTGGGAAAATTAAAATCATATGTTAGGAATAAGGCATGGCCTGAGGGGTCAATAGCAGAAGGTTATTCCGGAGATGAGGTCCTAACTTTCTGTTCGAGGTACTTTGATGACATGGAGACATCTTTTAACCGCCCGCGTCGCGTAGATGATTCTCCTCCCGGTCCTTCCACGTCAACTTTATTTCCTCCTGTTGGGAAACCAGTTGGAAGATATGAATTCTTCAGACTCACTCCTACAGAGAAACTCCAGGCACACAGACACGTTTTGATAAATTGCAGCCAAGTTGAACCCTTCATGCAGTAAGTATATATATCATATAAGCTCACTAGCTTTTACACTTTATATTTGTTTCTTACTGACTCTTCTAACAAATTACACTTTACTATAGTGAGTTTAGGAGTTATCTCAGGCGTCAGCTACGGGGCCGTGCGCGTTCTGCTGACATTGATAAAAGAGTCCACAAAGAGTTTCCCAGTTGGTTTACACGTCGAATACGTAATGACAACAGCCCATACACAGATGAATTCAGAGCTCTTTCTCTCGGTCCGTTAGACCATGCACGGAGGTTTACCGCGTACAATGTCAACGGCTTCAAGTTCTGTACGGTTGCACGTGATCAGGGATTGCTCACACAAAACTCTGGAGTTTGCGGGACATTCGGAACGAGATGTTATGCTAGCAGTAGTGATGGCGATATGCGCTTTGGAGGCGTCACTTACTATGGAAAGCTAATTGACATTATTGAGTTGACTTACCAGCTTTTCACCGTGACACTGTTCAAATGCTCCTGGGCAAATACGACAACTTCACGGGGACTCGCTACTGACCATTTGGGCATCACCTCAGTCAATTTCTCAAGACTTATTCATACGGGGGCATCTGAAGATGATGAGCCATATATCCTTGCTTCTGAGGCACACCAAATTTACTATGTCGAGGACGAGAAACATAAAGACTGGAATATGGTCGTTCACCTCAAGCCACGGGATCTTTACGATATGGGTGATGGTGACATTATTTACGACAGTGAACCCTTCCAACCCTCGAATTTTGAAGACTTCTTTCCTCAAGGAGATGATAATTTGCCACTTATCAGGTACACGTCTTTTCTTAAATTATTTAAATAATTAACTACTAATTACTAATTTTTTCCAAATACAACATAAATTTAACAAATTTTTTTAAAATATGTCCTTTCAGGCCGGATGATGATGGAGAGTAGCAGCATCCAAAATAAATTATTTAACAAATTTTTCGTCCATAAATACATATGTATAAATTAAAATTCGTAAAATTTTTTTAAAAATAAAAAAATTTTCATTTGTAGCGGTTATTAACCGCTACAAATTTTTTCACGAAATTGTAATTTGTAGCGGTTATTAACCGCTACAAATTACAATTTCGTGAAAATTGTAATTTGTAGCGGTTAATAACCGCTACAAATTACAATATCGTGAAAAAATTTGTAGCGGTTATGAACCGCTACAAAATACATACCTGTAAATTAAAATTCGTTCAGATTTTAAAAATAAAAAATACTAACTTTCTAGCGGTTAATAACCGCTACATATGTAACCGCTACTAATTACTAGCGCTTTTATATACGCTAGAAAATGAATAACAGCTACAAAATGTTATAAAACGCTACAAAAACACCGCTACAAATGTGTCGCTGATCTCTATAAATACCATATCTTCTCTACATTCATTTACTCCATCTCTTTTCCTTCCTCTCCTATTCTTCTTCATAATTCTCTCTTTTTTTCTTACTATCTCATATTGTGATTTTTTTCTTTTACTCTATGGTAAGTGAATTTTATTTTATAATTCATTGTATCTTTTATTTGTTTTTATTTAAAATTTACTAACATATTTATTTCTCCTTTCCTTTCAGATTTTTCTTCTCCACATTTGTCATGCCCTCCTCAACTGATTCAAATACTCATCAACTTAATACTATAGGTTCAATATTCCAAAATATATCATCTTCAATTCAACTATCTTATTAAATATTCAATTAAATTATCTTGTTAGATTAAATTCACTTCTTTTAACACATTCATAATTTAATTACATATTTTTTATTACAAAATTTGAATATATAAAATGTAACATATAACTAATTATACAAATTAACAAAAATTCTTCAAAATAATTTATTTAATGGTTTTTAAAATTATAATATGAAAAACCATAAATTTTTTTTTCTGGCACGGTAAACATTTCTAGCGGTTCAGAACCGCTAGAAATATTTCGTCAAATTTAAATTTCGCGCCAAACTTTCTAGCGGTTAAGAACCGCTAGAAAATTTTCCCGCCATTCTAAAAATTCAATTGGTGTGAAAATTTAATTTCCCAAATATTTCTAGCGGTTCTATAACCGCTAGTAATTTTCGCGCGCTACTGAAATTATTTAATTCCCGTTTAGCAGGTTTCTAGCGGTTACAAAACCGCTAGAAATTTTTTCCGGGGAAACTTTTCTAGCGGTTATAAAACCGCTAGAAACCTTTCCCCGGAAAAAATTTCTAGCGGTTTTGTAACCGCTAGTAATGTGTCTCCTTCAGATAATTTCTAGCGGTTCGTAACCGCTAGAAATGTTCTATCGTTTTGACCATGATGTGTAGCGGTTGAGATAACCGCTAGAAATTTTTTCTAACACCTGTTTTTCTAGCGGTTTCGTTAACCGCTACAAATGTTATTTGTAGCGGTTAAAACCGCTAGAAATGTAACACCATAACCGCTAGAATTAACATATTTTTTTGTAGTGATTGGGGTTTTTTCCAGAGAAATTCTATCTTTTTATGTTTTATAGTACAAAGATGGACCCCGTTTTGTCTTTTTCCCTCTTGTACATCTTCCCTCTCCACGGCAAGAACAAACTTTTTCTTTAGAAGCAATGTAAAATAGCTTCACTGGTACGGCTCGTTGGGACTAAAAAGCTCATTTTCACAGAAGCAATCCCAAACATATACTAAGGGCCTATTTGGGATCACGTTTGGGGTCCCAAACGTGCATCTCAACAGCTAAAAGCTCCTTTTATGTTTTAATAGCAATTTTTATATTTAGTTAGATTAGGATCTAAATAATTTTTAGGTCAACAAGAGAATGACCTTGGTTGCATCACTTATTGTATTCTAAATCAAATTTAATTTGATCATGATAATTTAAATAAATTAAAAAAAATAAGTTAAGGTAGTTATTTGTAATAAATAAACATTGTCTTTCCTAAAATACTCTTGCTAATTATATGCATTAGCAAAGGTATTTTAACATGTGCAACTACTACAAGGAGTACCTTGAAAAAAAAATGGATAAATATGATACACAAAATAAATTGAGATTTTATATTTAAGACCAAATTAAAAATCAAACTAGTTTTTATACTAAAAACTGAAGGTAGTATTACTCAACATTAATTTTTTACTCTAATTAGGATCTCTTAAATTCAAATAAACGCATCTTGCGGGAAAAAGGGTTCTAATTTTCTTTTCTGAGCATGTAACAATTCAGATGAGATGTGTGGGGTGCCACCAGATTCGAATTCTGTGCAGCAACAAATTAATTGAGTGATGTGATTATGTATATGACTTGTAAGAATGCAACAAGAAAGAGAAAAAAAGGAAAGGATGGTTTGCATGGTGTTTCGTGCGTGCAGATCTAATTCCTCTGTGCTGAGAAATAATCATTCTCAAGTGACAATGTTTGTTCAAATGTGCGTACTGATGTTAAATTTGTGTTGCGTGGGATTCTCTACTTTTTCTTTTTTTCTCTTCCTCATAAATTATTTCAATCATTTTCATTTTTTATTTTTAAAATAAAATAAATATTATTTATAAACGAACTTTTCGATTACCAATTTTTAAACTCCATTTATATTTATATATAAATTTCCTTTTTTTCATTAAAAAATCTAGATAAGTTTTTTTTTTTGCGACTGAAAATTTTAGATAAGTTGAGTCTTGAATAATTTAACATTACGGTTAAGGGTGGGTAAAGTGCGTCTAAAATTCTGGGTTGTTTATTCTCCCGCTCCTCCATCCTCGCAGGTAAGGGGGATTGGAAGATAGCTCCCTGTCGAGCTTCATCCCCCCCAACCCTCTCCTTCACGCCATGTTTCTCCTGCTGCGCGAGAGTGGAAGTTTGCAGCCTTGCGGGCCTCGGAGGGCCCCTGCCAGTACCGGAAGTGATTAAAAAAAGTATTAATATAATATTATTCAGATTCTGAATCATCCGTCGCTACGCTGTTCCCAAGGACTAGCAAAATCGAAATAGCGAAATTCTTGGGTCATCTCAATGGGTTCAGAAGCCACACGTTTCTCTGGATCATCATAGCGTGCTTCTACATATCCACGCAACAAATCGATGGATATCATATTTACTTTGAGTTTCTAGTTGATTTAATAATCAGCCTAATCCTCATAATTGGTAATTAACTTGTTTAGCTTGGAAGAAAGAGATTTTCTTAATAGGAGTCGAATCCCCATATAAATATATTGTTGCAAGCGGGCCTTCATATGATATATGTAGATTGAAAACGATTTTGGGGTCATTGTAATGACACACACACGCACTCTCTATCTAAATCTAATTGCAATGGTTTAGATTTAAAATTTTCAATTTATGATTTTTGAATTAAAAAATTATGCTTTAAAACACCAAAATTTGAGAGATTATTTTCATCTTGAATTTCATACCTATAAAAAATAAAAAATAAAAAAATTAAATATGAACTGTCGAGATAAAAAATGAATATTCATATCTCTTTTTTTTATTTTAATTTATTTTCAAAATAATTATTTTAATAAATACAAAATCTAAAATAAAGATAATCTGTTTACTTTTTTTTTTCCAAAGAATAATCTCGAAAACAAAGATAATATGTTGTTAACTATTTTTTTTCAAAGAATAATCTTTTATTTAAAAATAATCAATTGAAACTTTTAAATGTGTACTATCTATATTAGATTTAGATGTTTCAAATATGATGAATTTGAATATTTATCAAGACTGATACGCATATAAACTGAGTCCGTTACTGTGGGGTTTTCAAAAGATTTAACTCATCAGAAAATTCGGCTTAGATCTCACGAAAGCGCAAAAATTTTATTTATATGAAATTTTGCTTGCAATTGGTTTTTTGTGTTGTAAAAAGAGTCTAAAGAAGTCAAAGATTTTTTTCCCCTCTAAAACTCGAGGGATGATGTAGATTGTTTCATGTTCATGATCAAAAGTGTCAAACATGTGCAATGGTATTTCTTGTCGGGCAATATTTCGCAGAACTAGAATTTCACAAGATCGACATTGAAGGGCAAATCAGCAATGTTAATATGGGAAAATCTAGCAAGGATAAAATACATTATTGTACTAATAATCATTAGGAGGGGAAGGGAGAAAGAAATTAAAGAAAGATATATATGGAAGATGGGAGGGAGAGAATCCCCAGCTACATATAATCATGAATAAACATAATTGTTGATGGACTTAGGAATTATCCAAGCGGAAAGGCTCAATTTCTCCAAAAGTCGTGGGGTTATTATTTTGAGCCATTGCCCCTTCTACCCCTTTTAAATACTTTTCTGATAGTATGGTCGTTGAACTTTCGTAAAAATACCTCTGAAAAGATCCATGTAGAGTGGAAATTCTAGAATTGTGAAGGAAATAGGAAGACAAACGATACAATAGAGGATGAGCGCTACTGAGTTCTTGGACTTGTCCTCAAGCACAAAGGAATGCGCAGCGCAGAAAGAGATGAACATTGAGATAATGGACAGAAACAGTGAGCTTAAGGCCGAAAAAAGTTTCAAAGGCAATTTTTTCATAAAATCAGCGGGTTGTTTTCGTGAGGTCAGGATGGAAAGGAACAAGATGAGTGCAGTGACAGAGAAGCAGAGTGCCATGAGTGCAGAGATCGCAAAAATATCAAATCCAGGACGTCTTTCTAAGGTTGGTTTGCCGGTCTTGTCATCGTTGCCACCGGGTACAGTGGTTGATGTTGCATAGGCAACTCCGGCAACCAGCGCGGCCACCACTGAGCAGGATTCAGATGTACGACTAAGCCATTCATCACTCTTTTCGACAAGATCTTTATGATATGTAAAGAAGACTTCTTCTGGAGTTTTACCTTCTCGGTTTTTAAGGAATGCTGCGTAGGATGGCACCAACGATTTCACATGCTGCAATTCAAACTCAATCGTCAGAGTACTTAAACTTAAATATTTACAAGGATAACCAATACAAGTATCTGAGAGCGGAAAATGCATATCATATCTACATATTTACCTTATACCACTTGGTGTCATGTTGCATCTGCAAGGCACTAGGGCCCCGATGAAACTGCGATTCGTACTTTGCCGCCATGTGCAATATATTATTGTCACCGAAATCCACCGACTGAAGGAGTTTATGCCACAGCCTCTGCTGCTTGAGAAGCTTAGAAACATAGGGTTGCCTGTACTCGACTGCTATATGCAACACATTTTGGCCTTTCGAGTTGGTTTCATGGATAGCCCCTGGTTTATCCTTCAGAATTTTCTCCAGTATTTCCAAAATTCCATTTTTCGCTGCTATAAATAATGCCGACTCCTTCCTGTCCCATTCTTCCTCCTTCTCTCCGTCGCCTGCAGATAAATCCAATGAATATGGCGCAGTGGAATCTCCTTCGGTAGTTCCAGTGAATATTAATTTTGGCCTGCAGTTAATTATATTACATAGGTTTTGCAGAGAAATAGGAAAATTTCGATTACCTTTCTGTTGATCCTGATTGCTATCATCATTTGGTCTCATCACTTGTCCTGCAACTGCAATTATTAAATTATAAATTGGTGGCACTCTATTTAGAAATTTCGGCCACGTCTTGTCATCCATAATCTATAGTTATATAATTAATATTAGACAGCTACCTTCTATTTTTTCTTCACCCTCCTCAACAATTTCAGTCTCCTTGTTCTTTTTATCTGCAATTCCTATAGTCGAGATTAGATTTTGGATCGTTTTAAAAATTAGAATATAAATCAGATTAAGCACAATAAGAGTAATATGACAACCCAAATTCGGGTTCTATATTAACTTCGGCCTGCAATTAATTGCGTAGTTTTTGCAGAGAAATTGGGAAATTTCAATTAAAAGTGAAAAACCTTGTTTGTCAACGATCCGACCAATAGGTCTTCATAACGTAAGGAATAGCTTGGGAGGGCATTTCCACCTCCAACGTATGCTACATCTTTATTCTGCCAAAGTCGATCCAGTATTTGGTGACACCAGACGTGCTTTTGTTTCTCAATCTCTAGTTCCCGAAACCCTTTTTATAAACAAAACCACATATACGATCAACAGAGAAATAAAACCATGATTCACAAATAATTATAGGACTATGATGCATCTAGCACCCTAAAATATTTTATAATACATCCAGTATCCTGAAGTATTTTTTTTATATGTGTTCAACACCCTAAGTTATATTTTAGTGTATCTAGCATCCTAAAGTATTTTTTAAAGTGTGCCCAATACCTGAAATTATATTTTTGATGCATTCAATGCCTTAAATTGCTATGTGTAAAATTGCACTAAAAAATATTTTAGGGTGTGGATACAACATAAATACTTTAGGGTATTGGATGCATCTAAAAAAATATTTTAGGCTACTGGATGCGTCTTAACCCATAATTATATATATCAGCACAATTAAGCCAGTACTTGTCAGTTACTAATATTATACTACTTCGGTCGTAAATATAAGACCTATTTTATAATGTAATTTACGTCATAAAGTAGGTTTTATATTTGGAACCGGAGGAATAATTAGGTAGAGATGGAGAGTGCATACCAAGGGTAACGACAGGCCGAATAACAAAGGTGAATGCACGCGCGAAAATGTCAAAACATGTCCAATAATTTGGCGGCACATTTTCATATCCGTCGGAACTTGGGTTTTCTGCATCCGCTCCTTCGTACAACAAATCAAACATGAACAACAGATCATAAGATACTTTAATTATGAAGGAACATATATATATGATCAAACCCAAACAAGCCACCCTAGCTAGACTACTTAACACTGCATTTGAGAAAAAACTGAGCAAACTAAAGATATACGAAGTATGTTTTCATTTAGATTGAACTTGCCAGCCTGGGTTCTTTGTCTTTCAGACAACTTTATCCAGAGCAATGGGCTAGTCTTTGGGTGCTGTTCGAGGCTCCTCAATGGCTTCACGTATATGCCTTCCGCCACAAAAGGAAAATAAATAAATACTTGAATTATTGACATATCTAGGAGACTGTGTGTATTCTAAAATATAAAGAATACTTATAATTTAGTTTTTATTTTAAAAATTTACAAATTGACATCCATGAAGGGGTTCATGTTCTTAACTTCTTTATTTTGTTTTCATGAATTAAGCTTTGTCTTGTCGGGTAATGGAAGAGGTCGTACAAGGGAGACAAAAAATAACAGAAAGAATTACGAGGAGATTAAAAGGAGAAAAATGTAATCAATAAAAATTTAAATAACAAATCAACAGCAAAAACTTCTAATCGTTTTCTTTATTAAAATGCTGCTCAATTATCATTAAGATTTTTTTATTATTAAATTCTTGGCTTGAGACTTCATGAAAATTCTCTCAAAATAAAAATCAGATGTGGGGCCTGACTCGTTGGTGTTGGCTCCTACTTCTTTTTTTCCCCCCTTTTGGGAAAGAGGTAAATAAATACGTACTACTGGCATACTTACAGTCGTAGACAAGCTTGTGATACCATCTAAAACTGCTGCTGCTTTCAAAGGCGGAAGGTTTGTCGGCCAGGATATGGAGAGGGGTAATTCCCCCTTCATCCAAAGAGCCCACTATTTACCCTCCGTAAAGATGAATGATTTGAAATGCCAACTCTGTGAATGCGAACAAGAATGAGTTAACAAGGCCATATATAAATAAATGATTAATGAATCAACAAGGGCTCGGAGTAACCAACCAAAGTGGTCTCGGCGGATGGTGCAGTGAAGGATATTCTCTCCATCGCTCTGGATCTTCTCCAGAGGCGCGCAGTTGGGTCGGGGCAACGAGAGTGGAGGTAAAGCAAAGCATCCATATGGCCGTGAAGAGCGGCCAAGAAGAGAGGAGTCTCCCCTCTCTTGTTGCGAGCTTCAATCAGTTGGGCGTCCCGTTGAGCTTCGGCGATGCACTTGCACATCTCGAGGGACCCTATTGATGCTGCACAGTGCAGTGGGGTATCTCCTCGATCATTCATTTTTCCCAGCGCAGACAACGACCCACTTCTCGTGATTTCCATTACTAGCTTCTCCACCATATCTCCTCTGTAGTCCTCCACCGCCACATGCAACACTGTGTCGCCGGCGTTGTTGATCGGTTTATCGTGAATAATACTCACTTTGTTTTTGTATATCGTCAAAGCTTCATCCCAATCACCCTCTAGCGTGGAATCGTGTAAACTGTCCGCCGTCACCAGAACATCCGTAAGGGAATCCATACGTTGCATTTTGCCCCGATGCACGAACCAACACAACGTGACTATGTGTGTGTTAAGATGGTGGCAGTGGCTGGTGGTCACTTCGCTCCCAAAACTCGCTTTTTATACTGCTCAGCTGCTCCCATGTGTGTCTGTAGTACAGTACAGATGAATCTCTTTTCATTATATTGTGGAAGGGCAATGTGATATCTTTTTCTTTTTTCATTTTTTTATCAATTAATAATTATGCATATATGTATACGGAACACGTTACGTTGTTTGCCCTTTCGAATGTGATGAGCAACGATAACCTAGAAACAAACATCCTATGACGTTCAGATGGATCCTCTCCAGCCCTTTGAAAAGTGTGGTGGCATGGTAAAACATAAACCCAAAAATAAAGTACTGTACATAGTGTGCTAAGCGTAGCCTGGAGAGGTGAACCAAGAGATAATCTGAGCACCCCTGAATTTAGCGATTCTGTTTAAGTTGACAATTGCTTATACTCCTTTGGTTTTATTTATAAGGTACTTCTAGTATGTTTTACACAGATCAAGAAAAATCTTAAGTTTCATTAACTCTTATTTAAATTTTAATAACTTTCTAACTTTATCTCTATTTAATAGACATTATACTTCATATAAATAAAGTCAACACAATAATAAATGAGGGGTAAAATTATACATCCATACAGAAAATTTCTCTCAGTACCCTATAAATAGGACCAAAAAATACCTTCTCTCTCTGCCCTATAAATAGGACCAGAGGAGTATATAATCAAATAAATACGTGTTGGAAAGTGTAACCGCACACATTGTAGCAATAATGGCCCCATCCTGACCATAATACTCTTCCCAAACAATTTCTTCCCGTGGATGTGTGTAATAGGCATGTTAATTAACCCCAAAAAAAAGTGAATATACCTTATCACCAAAAAAAATGTGCACACAACTAGTATGAATTTAAGGGAGACACACAGCCACACGCACCACATACCCACTCTTAGATTAATCTCACCACCTTTTATTATGTGAGTTGCCACTTGAGTTAAAGGTTCTTGGCATATATTTTTAATTATTTGAAAATCGAAAAGAAAAAAAGAAAAGTGTGACAAAAGAGAAGGTGGGATGAACATCTGTCTGTGAACAAACACACACACACACGTACGTATGTCACCCTGGCCCAAAGTTAGTTAATTTGTCCCTTCCGTCAGAGACAACGCTATTTCTTTTGAAAAATAACTTTGAAACAATAATAATACTCCTCCGGTCCTTAATATAGGACCCAATTGTTGAGTTAGTTTTGGTCCTAAATATAAGACCCATTTATCATATTTATCAATGTTCTCTAAATTACCCCTATAGATACTCCCTCAACCATAATCAAGTAGAAGAGAGAGAGGGGGTATTAAGAAAGATGATTATGATGTTTTAGGAAAAACGTGTCACATTTTTTATAATTAACTAACTTAGCTAACTTCCTTAATTTAATCAAATTAATTAAATGAGTCTTATATTAAGAACCGGAGGAGTAATAATAAATTGACGCCACCTATATACAGTTCTCAACTTGCATTAAAACTTTAATTGCTCTGTTAAGATAAAAAGGAATGTGTTGAATTGAATGCGTGTTGAGTTTAAAAGACTAAATGTTCCATCCGTACTAAATCCCGAGTGGGGTTTCGTATGACTCTTTTTGGGATATGCAAATAGGGCAAACTGGCTTCCGATTCATACGTGTCGGCACAGAGTATTCATTCTCAAGGGATCATTCTCATTTCTCAAATAAAATGTGCCTTCCGACGGCACTAACTATTTTAATTTTTAAAAGCTCCCACTGATCCTTTTTATTTCTTTTCCCTTTTTTTAATATAATAAATTACCTATGCTTAATTAATCTGGTGCCTCCCCATTTTGCCTTCTCAAATTAGCAATATAATCTTCAAAATTACTACAAAATTGATACTCTCTTTTTAGACAGAGCTTTCGCTTTGCCCTGTGGAAAAGCGCCATCTATGCCCATGTGTTTCACCCCAAGAAAAATACTTTTTTCTCCCCTTTCTTTTTTATTTTTAAGAGCTTTGGTATTAAATATGATTTAATGAGGTTTAAACGTTAGTTTATTACTTTATGAGCAACCAACTCTTTTTCTTAGACCAAATTTCTCTTTGTCACTAATAATATTTCTTGCTCCCTCAAATCCCTATTAAAAGGCCTATTCTAGAAGCTTTTTTTTTTTTATCCCAAATACAAGTCAATAGCTAACTCATTAATGATTTTTTCTCATTTTACGCTCATCATTAATTACTACCCCGGTCCTATTTATAGAGTAGAGAGAGAAGGTTTTTTTTGTCCTATTTATGAGTCACTTTATTAAATTTTCAATATGAATGTACTATTTTGTCCTAATTTATTATAATATAGGTAGTTATCTCTTTTGAAAATGGTATATATTAAATATAGGTAAACTTGAAAATTTGTTATATTTTAATAAAGAGTTAATGCATTTTAAGGTTTTTCTTGATCTATGTAAAACATGTTTAATGCATTTTAAGGTTTTTCTTGGTCTATGTAAAATATGCTGAAAGTGCCTTATAAATAAGACCAGAGAAGTAAGATTTAGTGTTTTTTTCATGAACTCCTCATAATTGGTGCTTCTCTATCTTCATTTAAGTGAGGGTAAACTTAAAAAAAAATTATTAATTTAAGACCAATTTAATGCTTTAACTTTCAATTCTTGCTATGTGAAAATTAGTTAAGAATGTTATAATAAGGACTGGATGGAGTAATTATTAGCCATCCCTCTCTTCAGAAAAATCAATGTATCTTTTGTTTTATTCGAGGAGGAAGGTTGCGACTCGGGAGGCATTGAATAAATAATAATGAGAAAATAGGCCTCATTTCTAATCTTATCAACTTGTATCATTTTCTCACTTTTGACGTACGATACAAGGCATATTTTTATATTAGTTTTATCTTACGCTTCAGTTTAGGCAAAAATATATAAACCAGAAAATGGAGGAAAATTGTCCATATCCATTTATTCGGGTTTGACGATCATGAAGAATATGTGATGACCACAATGTTCACCACTTCAACTTGGATCCCCATCCAGGTTTATGTCATTTTATACCAAACTCTGCACTTGCACAACACACTAACAAAAAGAATGAATACCAGATTAGTTTGATGAGCTTCATAACAGAGAAAGATAAATAGGTGGGGACAACGTTGATTTGAATAAAGGTTAAAAGAAAGAAAGAAAATAAAGCGTGGCGAAGAAGCCATAAATGAAATCCATATCTAACTTCGCTTTTATGATGTACACAATAGATACCTTTCGTGCTCATCATACCACAAGAATCATCAAAAGCAAAAAGCATCTTAGCTCTCGCAAGAGGTGCAGAGAGAAGAAAGAGAGAGAGAGTGCAAACAGAGGAGCTTCTAATTCCTACGCGTTGAGAAAGATTCATTCTAAAGTGACGATCGACGTTCAGGTGACACTGTTTTAACGTTAGTGCGGTAATGGAAGGCGGAGGGTTTGCTGGCCAGGATGTGCAGAGGAGTAATCGCTTTGTCATCCACGATAGCCCACAATTTGGTTTTCCTGTGTGATCACCTAAATCCTAAGTGTCTCAACACAGTGGAACCATCAGCACATATTTAATATTCAACCACTCATAAAAACTACAAGCATCTAAAAATACATTCAAATAACTCTGTAAACAAATTGATAGAAACAGAGGGAACGAAAGGAGAAGTGAGCCACAAAAAGATTCCCAAGGATGGGACCAGAAAGAATATCGTACAAATCATCCGCATCCTTTTCAATCACATCCTCCGCTCACATATTGCCTCAGCTTGCTTCATGTTGTTGGGATTCCTTTCTCATTCGGTTATCTCTAACGGCATCATGCGGAGGAACCACATATGAGGTGATGACAAGCCACGTGTCTTCCTTGGGTCCCACAAATATTTGTTAGATTCATGACACCCTTCCCTTCACAAAATTTAGAAACCTTGAAAGTTACAAAATTGAATTAGAGAGAGAACTTTAGCGAGCTTTTGCTGATACCGGAATATATTTGTCCTGAAAAAAGCAGCAGCCGCATATACCCATGTGTTTCTCACACACACGCGTGTTTGGCGCAACACTACAAAGACAAATTAAAGCTGCTTGAATTCGCACAAATATTATATTTGGCCTTCGATCTTGTTGAGATTCTGGAATTAAAAAACTGGGGCTCGGATTGATTTATGGGTTGAAAATCCGTTGATTATTTTAACTCTATAAATAATGCAAGTGTGCGAATCGTAATAATAAAGAATAAGTTCTACAAAGAATCAAATAAAATGATGTTTAAGCACTAAAATTTTCATTTTTCCAATTGAATGAAAAGAAATAAAATTCAAATAAAGACAAAGTATTTCTTAACTAAAACCTTATGAAATTTATATCATTTCAAACACATTTTTTATATAATTTCTTCTATTTTTTGATGAACTTCTGTTGATGTAATAAGAATAAATGCCCAGTAGATACTTAGGCTAGAGACATCGTCTTTTTAAGTGCTGCTTCTTTTTCCTTCTTCACGAAAAAACTGTTGAGAAGTTTCTGCTTATAGCAAACAATTCTGATGATAAATATTCTCATATACTCCTCCCTACATAAGAATGAAACCCGCTAAGAATTCAGGAAAAGTACTCGTCTAGCCAACAGTATTGTGGGTACGTACATCTCCTGTGCTGTGACTGTTTTCATATGACTTAAAAAGTTATTGCATACTTCTGTTTCATTTTTAATTTTTCCTTTCAAGCCCAGCTTCCAGCCAATTTGGTTACCAGAGAATTGATGAAGAAAGGATTAAAGAACTTAATTGACTATCTTTACAGCTGGGTGTACCGTTATTTACAAACGACCTAGAACAAATTACAGTAAAATGGTCAGGCAATCTTGAAACTTACAAAAGTGAACTGATCGAGAGACTTGAGAGAGACCTTTTGCAAGCTTTTTGCCGACTCGATTGGGTCTCTGAGTTGCGACTTTGGGGTTAAAAATCTAATTATAGCTCAATCTAATTTATGCGTGGAAAATTCTAGTGTTCTTCGATCCCATTTATATGGCTTTGCTCAATATAATCCGAAGTAACAAGTAGTCAATACTTCTATATACTTTTTTAATAAATTTTCTCAATTATAATTTTAATCCGTAGCTCTCATCATCAATGCTTCATATCAAACCAGACACATTGGATGGAGTCAAAGAAATGACCCGCGTGTTATTCTGCCGTAAGTTTCGGTCAAGAAATGTGCGCAATTGTGGACTTGATCCAACTCAATGTGACCGACATAATCCAGCGGATCCTAGATTATCCCAATCGGGCCAATGCCTTTGGGCTCAGCCAACCCAACTTAATGTGAGCGGATCGGATTAAGGTCGTTAAAGAACAAGTTTTTGTTTAAAAAAAAAACAAAGAAAGATACGTGTAGGTTGTTTGAGTGACCCTCGCTCAAGTATTTGAATATTTGATGGACATATGGAATTTTAGATACTCCATATGCAAGATATCCTTCTTAAGATGATTTTTTTTGGGGGATAAAATTAACAATTTATTATAAAAGAGTTTCGTGACTAACAAATACTGATATTAAAAGCAAGCTGAAGTCATTAATCTCTTCGTAACTCCAACGACCTTGGTTTCACTTAATTAGTTAGTTCCACTGCTAGTTTTGTTAATATAATTTCGATTCTGATTCGCTCATGTGTGATGCTGAAGATGCTGGAAACATCATTCATTCAGAAAACATGGTGATTAATGATCGATGAAGACCGTACAATGATGACCCCTTCATCGTGTGTCAGCTTATCCCAAACTCTCCTTTACTCCATCGGCTTTTAGTAAAAGAAGCGTCTCTTTCAATAAAGATTTTCAGAAGAAAATAAACTGTAGCAAGAGGTCATATAATCAGTTTGACTTATTAATTATCTAGGCCCTACATGCCAGACCACTCTGGTGTTATTTATAAATGGGAGAAGAAATTTTTTGGTTCAGATGTGTCATTAGTTTTCTTTTTTTATCCCTCATTAAATTTGGTGTATGTTGTTTAGTTCTTAATATAAATTATTTAGGAGGGGCATAGTTAGAAATTTATTAAATTTTTAAACAACATTCATGAGTTTTAAAGTTTTCCTAAACTATTATAAAATGTGTTGAAAATAACTTATAAATAACATGGGAGTTATATAAGGACTACTGTATTATTGTAGAAGTCTCAAAAAATCTGACTTATTAGAGGGATGCTACCAAGATTTGTTACAAAAGCTTAAAATCTTTATTTATATGAAATTTCGCTTGCGATTAGTCCTTTATTTTATTTTATTTTATTTTTTGCTATCAAAATTAGTCCTTTATATTACAGAGTCTAAAAAACGGGATTTAAAAAAGAAAAAAAAAACTTGAGGGATATGTTGGTCCTGTTCAATATTGTCAATTGTTAAGCATGTGCGATCGCATTTATTATCACGCAATATTTTGTAAAACTATAGAATCTCACGAAGTCAATAATAATTTTGAAAGCGCATATTAGCAAATCAGCCATCACTTAAGGTGGAAAAAAATAGCTAGAGAGGATAAAATATAATATCAAAGTAATAATAATTGGGAGGGGGGACAAAAGAAAGAAAGATGTGGAACAAGAAAGAGAGGGAGAGACTTCCCAGTCCAGCTACATATAATCATGAGTAAACACATATCGTTGATCGATTTGGGAGAGGGAAGGCCAAATTTCTCCAAAATTCATAGCCTTTTTCTTTTTAGCCAGTATCCCCCTGCCCTCCTCTAAATACGTCTCTGATCGTACGGTTGTTGAACTTTCATGAAAATGCCTTTGAAAAGATCCATATAGAGCGGGAACTCTGCAATTGTGAAGGAAACAGGAAGACAAATGATAGCATAAAGAGGGAGTACTGATGTCTTGGACTTGTCCTCAAGCACAAAGGAATGCGCTGCACAGAAAGAGATGAACATTGAGAAAATAGACACAAACAATGAGCTTAAGGCCAGAAGAAGTTTCACTGGCAATTTTTTCATAAAATCAGCGGGACGTTTTCGAGAGGTGAGTATAGAAAGGAACATGATGAGTGCAGTGACAGAAAAGCTGAGGGCAATTAGTGCAGAGATAGCGAAAATATCAAATCCAGGACGTCCTTCTAAGGTTGGTTTGCCAGTCTTGTCATCGTTGCCCCCCGGTACGGTGCTGGATGTTGCATAGGCAACTCCGGCCACCAGCGCAGCCACCACTGAGCAGGATTCAGAAGTAGGACTGAGCCATTCATCACTCTTTTGGACAAGATCTTTATGCTCTCTGAGGAAGGTTTCTTCAGGAGTTTCACCTTCTTGGTTGGTTAGGACTGTGAGGTAGGATGGCAGCAATGATTTCACATGCTGCAATTCAAACTCGATGGTGAGAGTAGTTAAATTTAATTACTTAATTACAAGAATAACTAACACATGTATATGTGAGTGGAAAATAAATATAACATTTACATAGATAGTTACCTCGTACCACTTGATTTCATCTTGCATCTCCAAGGCGCTGGAGCCCTGAATCTGCAGTTTGGACTTTGCTACTATGTGCAATGTATTATTGCCATCAAAATCCCCTGAGTGAATAAGGACATCCCACGACTTCTCTTTCCTAAGGATCTCAAATATATGAGGTTGCCGGAACTCAACAGCCACATGCAATACATTTCGGCCCTGAGAGTTGGTTTGGTAGATGGCCCCAGGCTTATCCCTCAAAATTATCTTCACTATCTCAACTACTCCATTTTTGGCTGCAATAAGCAATTCTGGCTCTCTTTTGTCCCCACCACCATTTTCCCTCTCTTCACACCCTGCATATTCATGCAATTAATACGAGTCACATATATTTTGCTCTTCTTGTTTGCCGTGTCTTATTTCCTTTTCTTTTTAATATTTTACTGTAGGATTCTTGAATTGATGAACATAGACAGATTTTCCCCGGGCAGTTTTAGAGATGGTGAGAAGTAGCTTTCATATGGTTGTGACTGATATAATGGCAGAGTTACCTTTTTGTTTGCTTTGATGGTCAGGAACATCAATCTGAGTCAGCTGTACATTCTGTTTATTATCTGCAATATTCCAATATATATCACAGACGAAACTTACTCATCCTTCCCACGTTTGTGATGATGTGGGTTAGAATATAAATCAGATGAATCACGATGAATGAAAAACACAACCCAAAGTTTGCTATCTATATATTGGCCTATCATACAATTTTATATACTATAAATAATTATTGCAGAGAGAGTAGTGAAAAATATCGATTACCTTCCCGCTCATTATGAGTGTCATCAGCTGCAATTGCAATTATAATATCATCACCTGCAATTGCAATTATAATTAGAATGACAGCAGATTTGAGTTTGCGCTCCCTCTATATATATGTATTATATCATTGTATTTCTTGCATATGGATATCACAACTTATAACGTTTGTTACGTTGTGTCGAAGAAAGAATTCCAGGGGGAGGTCTATACATGGATAATAATGAGGATATGGTGAAGTGAGAAACCTGATTTGAGACGATCATTGTTAAAAGGATTGGCGAATTCTTCTTCTTGGTCGTCATCTTCGTCGGATGAATATAGGACGGAGAGAAGGCGTTGGGGCGCACCTCCACCTTCAACGTATGCTGTACTTTTATGCTCCCAAAGTGCCTCCAGTATGTGACCACACCAAACGTGCTTCTCTTTCTGCTTCCTTATATCCTCCCATCCTTGTTATTATTATGCCATCATCCAACAGATTCAGTATATGATCCATTCTATCTTATTACAAAGCTAGGCTGTTCATGAATCGTTAATGTTAGGTAGAGAGTGTACCAAAGGCTCCAAAGAGAAGCCACAGGATACAGTTGGTTAATGCTCGTATCAAAATGTGACATGTCCGATAATTTGGCGGAACATTTTCATGCCCATCATGATCTTCCTCACATGGGTCTTCTGGATCCGCTTTTGTTTTGGTCCCACGACGACGACCTACAACAACAAAAGAGCAGCCGATTATAAATTTCAAGAATTGCATCAAACTCATACAAACGAAATATGCATGTTTTCACTAATCAAGGAACTTGCCTGTCAGGGGTTTTCCAGAGTCTAACCAGTTCCGTAAAGTGCTATTGTTCTCTGCGCTGTTCCGGTATGATGAGCGGCTCCTCCACCATTATGCCTTCGACGCCAGAAAAGGAAAATAAATTATAATCTTTTTCTTTTTCTTTTTTTTTTTTAATTTTGGAGAATTGGGTGTCATACTTGTGAGAGATGTCAACTACGTAGTAGAAGATAACAGATAGATTATATATACAAGCAAGAGGGGGAGGGTGCCATACTGACGAGTGGCGACCCCATTATTATGCCTTCCACGCCACAAGAGGAAAATTCAAAATAAACAATAATTAAATTTTTTTTATATTTTGGGAAAAAAGAACAATATAGCCGCAGAATTGGTGGGTGCCATATTTACTCATGAGAAAGTTGTCAATTATTGGCAGACGTACAGTAAGCAGGACATTCATTTTATCTTAAAAACGTAAACGATAATTAAATTATAATTTTTATTATTAAATAGATTAAAAAATTGACACCCATGTAGTATATTTTGTTTTCACCGTAGAGTAAAGATTGGAAAAAAAAATGATCTTTCTCCGCTCTCCTAGTCCTCTCCTCCCCTCCTCTCTAAACTTTTTTTTTTTTAATGAAGTAAAGAAATAATCTACGAATCTACTAAATTGCCCAATGCTTATATTTTTCAAAAAAATATTTGATTATTAGCTTTCAGACTAAAACCTCGTTTCACTCTCTTCACAGAGGCTCGTGTTGCGTACGCGTCGTTTTCTGGCTTCCTTTCAGTTTTTTACTATACAGACTAAAGCCTCCAGACACAACACACACATCATAATTATAATACTATTGAGATAGAATGTTAAAATTTTATAATTTAAAAAATATATTAAAATTAAAAAGATAGCATGCCACACTAATAAAGTCATCCTTTAAAACGCATATAAAAAATGCTTTTTCATATATAAGTGGGATAAGGTAACATGTGTTTTGGACATTCATAAGCCAAGAAATAATAATTCTGATATAAATATTATAAGAGAAATAATTTAAATAAAATGATAAAAGTACAGTTATCAATTTTTAATTAGCTTTCCACCCCCTACTTCTTCTAAAAATCAAATAAGAATTATTTAAATACCTCTTCTCCCCTCTCCTGTACTCCATTGAACCAAAGCACCAAACAAAGCCTCAGCTTTGTTTAAACTCACAGGTCTCGTTTGGCGAAACATTAAAAATAAAAGATATGGATTGAGAATGTAATTGAAAAAAATCATTACGATGGTATTTAGCAAGAGTAATTATTTGTTATATAGGATTAGGCAAACTCATAGAGGCGGGATTAGGGAATACCACTTTCCCTCATAGTATCCTCCAATACCACATACATGGATTCGGCTAATCCCATATATCAAACAATCTCTTATGCCAAATATCTTTTTAATAATAGATTTTCTCAATCTCAATCCCAATCTCTATCCTTAATTTTTAATACTTTCTATCAAACGGAACACATAGTCCAACAATTATACTACTTTATTATAATAATAGAAGATAGTAGTATATACCAGTAGGTACATTGTATCTAAAAAAAAAGATAGTAAGACTAGTGCTGCACTTACAGGTGTAGACAAGCTTGCTGAAGCATCTAAAGTTAGTGTGCTTTGGAGGGCGGGGGGTTTGCTGGCCAGGATGTGCAAAGGAATAATCCCCTTTTCGTTCACAGAACCCGCCATCTCGGCTCCGTACAGACGAATGATTTCATGGCCAACTCTGCCATTAACATTTTATATAATTCTCAATCCATCCATCCGCGAATAATTATCATATATAATAATAAAAACAAACCAAATCATCGAGATTATTCATGAGAGATTTAGGGTGAAACCAAAGTGGTCTCGGCGAATGGTGCAGTGAAGCACAGTGTCTCCATATCGCCTCCTCGTCGCCAAGGCCCCACAGACTTGTCGGCGCAAAGATAGTGAAGATACACACATGCTTCCTTGTGGCCTTGAAGAGCGGCCAAGTAGAGAGGCGTCTCTCCTTTCTCGTTGCGAGCTTCGATCAATTCGGAGTCGCCTTCCTGAGCGTCGGCTATGCACCAGCACATCTCCAGCGACACGCTGCGCGGTGCAGTGGCGTATCGCCCCTCTCATTATATTCCCTATCCGCAGCGCCGACAACGACCCTGATCTCCTGAGTGCTTCCACCAGCTTCTCCACGATGTCCTCCCTGCCGTCGTTCACCGCCACAAGCAACGCAGTGTCGTTCGAGCTGCTGATTGCTCTCTTGTCTATCTTGGCTTTTCTTTGGTATTCCTCCACCACGTCGTCCCGCTTCCCTTCTAATGTGCAATAATATAAAGTCTCCGCCTTCACCGACATCAGCATCTTGCAGAGACTCGATCTTGTGGTGGCCGTTGCTTGCTTTTGATTAAAAAAACTCTCATTTTATACAACACTCACATATATATGTCTCTACCGTACGCTATGGAGCAGTCCGGCAAGCAAGAATATATGGCATTTTATTGTGAAAGAGCAAGGTATCATCTTTTGCCCTCGTGTAAGTATTATCTTTTGCTCTCTTGTGTTCAACCCACTTCTTCTTCGCCCCCTTCTTCATCTTCTGAATTTTGTGATGGTCAAGTTTCGGCTTATAATTGCTTTTGTATATTCTTTTCTCAAATACTACCTCAGATAGTTAATATAAGACCTGATTGATTAATTTAAATACTACCTCCGGTCCTTAATATAAGACCCCGTTTGACTTTTTGTTTAGTCCTAATTATAAGACCCCAATCCATTTTGTCTCTCATATTTATACATTTTTTTCTAAGATAGTCCTTCTAATAATGATAGTTTTAGCCAATACACTTAATTAGCAAGGATATTTTAGGAATAACAACACTTATTTATCACAAATAACTAATTTAACTTACTTCCTTAATCTCCTCAAATAAGTCAACTGGGTCTTATAATTAGGACCGGAGGTAGTAGATCAAGAAAATTAGTTAAGTTAGTTATTTGTAATAAATAGGTGTTATTTTCTTTAAAATACTCTTGCTTATGTGTATATACTAGAATTATCATGTAATAAAATACTTAACATGTTTAACTACTACAACAAGTACCTTGAAAAAAAAAAAATAAAGATTTTATATTTAGAACTAAATAAAAATCAAATAAACTATTATATTAACAACTGGAAATAATATTACAAAAGTAGCTTCTAATTAACTCTAGATGATAACTTCCGTGTGTCTCGCGACACTCACAGAAGTTATAGACGCGTCATATAACACCAAAATGCGAGTCTATAACTTATACGAATTTAATTTTTATTTTAACCATTCAAAAACAAAGTATGAGCGTCTCATAACGAGAAAAGATGAGATAAAAGAAAGGATTCAGGATAGAGTTCTTTTTTTAAAAAAAAATGTTTTACTTTAAAAATACACATATATTTCACATTACAAATTTTTTAATAACGTACTATATATATTATTATATTACAAGTCATTCTAAAAATTTTATAAAGATATCATAATATTAGTTTTTACATTAAGAGTTGACGTAACTATTAATGTTGACAAGAAAAATTACGAAGTATTTTATGTTAATTAATCATTATAAAAATTTAATGAAATAACCCCAAAAAAAAATATAACTGGGGACAGTATATGCTGCAATAGGCCACACCCCGCCGAAGGCTATTCCGGTGTGCCCTATACCGGTATCCGTATGCGGCAATTAATGGGCGAGAAAACCGAAAGCGCAGCTCCCCTAATAATAATCCATCATCTCAAATTGCAAGAGCGGTAATTTGATGATGAAAGGATTATGGTCAAGCATTTGATTTGTCCTAGACCCTTCTTTTGGGATATATGTTTCGTCCAAAAAAACGGAGAGCGAAAGCAGCAATGTATATTCTGGTCAAAAAAAAAAAAAAAAGCAGCAATGTATATTATCTTCCTGTAGTTTGCTCCTTTCATTGTCAGATACAGCGATTCGAAACCTCTCTTCCCCCTCCCCCTATCCTATTCCCTCTTTTTTTTCCCCTAGTTATTAGATTAATATTTTAACTGTTGAGATTTAAATCTTTTTCAAACTATTATTAAAATATTAAATTATAACATAATTAAATAATAAAATGCAAACCATCAAAACTTTTATAAATAGTTTATAAAAAAAATAAAATATGAACTGTTAGAATATATTAATTTAATGGTTAGAAAAAGAAATTAAAAAATAGAATAAAAAGAAAAAAAGAAAAGGTTCCGAGCCTTTGGCCCGCACAGAATTGTTTTCTTTTCAAAAATAACTTTAACTGCGAGAAGCAAGTTCTCACTTTCTTGTGGAAAAAAAAAGTTCCGAAATTCATGCCACTCGTAGTTCTCAATTTTTTCTGCCACATATATATACTTTAAGTGACAACATACCACTCTTTAATTGAATTCCTATGAAGAGTTACAAAGAATAAAGGCCGCACTCGTTTTATAGATCTTTAATGGCACCAAATCAGCTTCTGGTTAGGGGATAAACGTTGTAAGAGAGACTCAAATTCAATAAATTAAAGGTACTCCTCTAGTGTTATTTATAAGATAGAGAGAAAAGATATGTTTTAGTCATATTTATAGGATACTAAGAGAAATTTTTTATATGGATATATAATTTTATCCTTAATTTATTATTATATTAATTTTATTTACATGAGGTATAATATATATTTATGAGGTATAATATATATTTGAGAAGTTTCTGCTTATAGCAAACAATTCTGATGATAAATATGCTCATATTCTCCTCACTACATAAGAATGAAACCCACTAAGAATTCAGGAAAAGTACCTGTCTAGCCAAAAGTGTTGTGGGTACGTGCATCTCCTGTGCTGTGACTGTTTTCATATGACTTAAAAAGTTATTGCAAAAGTTTTTTTTTGTAGCCAAAAAAAAAAGTTATTGCAAACTTCTGTTTCATTTTTAATTTTTCCTTAAGCCCAGCTTCCAGCCAATTTGGTTATCAGAGAATTGATGAAGAAAGGATTAAAGAACTTAATTGACTATCTTTACAGCTAGGTGTATCGTTATTTACGAACGACCTAGAACAAATTAGAGTAAAAGGGTCAGGCAAATAGGCAATCTTGAAAATTACAAAAATGAACTGATCGAGGGACTTGAGAGAGACCTTTTGCAAGCTTTTTGCCGACTCGATTGGGTCTTTCAGTTGCTTCTTTGGGGTTAAAAATCTAATTATGGCTCAATCTAATTTATGTGCGGAAAATTTTGGTATTCTTCTATCCCACTTATATGGCTTTGCTCAATATAATCCAAAGTAACAAGCAATGAATCTTTCTAAATATTCTTTTAATAAATTTTCTCATTACAATTCTAATCTGTAAAGCTTATCATTAATGCTTCATGGCAAAGCGGACACCTTATACGGAGTCAAAGAAAAGACCCACGTGTTATTCTGCCTTAAGTTTCACTCAAGAAATGTGTGCAATTGTGAACTTGATCCAACTCAAATTGTGACCGACATAATCCCGCATCTCAGATTATCCCAATCGGCCCAATGCTTTTGGGCTCAGCCAACCCAACTTAATGTGAGCAGATCCGATTAAGGTCGTTAAAGATCAAGTTAATTTGTCCCTTCCGTCAGAGACAACGCTATTTCTTTTGAAAAATAACTCTGAAATAATAATAATAAAAAAAAAAATTGACGCCACCTATACATAGTTCTCAACTTGCATTAAAACTTTAATTGCTGTGTTAAGATAAAAAAGAATGTGTTGAATTGAATAGGTGTTGTGTTTAAAAAGACTAAATGTTCCGTCCGTACTAAATCCCGAGGGGGGTTTCGTCTGACTCTTGTTGGGATATGCAAATAGTGCAAACTAGCTTCCGATTCATACGTGTCGGTAAAAGAGTACTCAAGGGATCATTCTCATGTCTCAAATGAAATGTGCCTTCCGACGGCACTAGCTATTTTAATTTTCGAAAGCTCCCACTGATCCTTTTTATTTCTTTTCCCTCTTTTTTAATATAATAAATTATCTATGCTTAATTAATCAGCTGCCTCCCCATTTTGCACTCTCAAATTAGCAATCTTCAAAATTACTACAAAATTGATATCCTCTTTTTGGACAGAGCTTTCGCTTTGCCCTGTGGAAAAGCGCCATCTATGCCCATGTGTTTCAGCCCACGAATAATACTATTTTCCTCCTCTTTCTTTTTTTATTTTTAAGTGCTTTGGTATTAAATATGATTTAATGAGGTCTAAACGTTAGTTTATTACTTTATGAGCAACCAACTCGTTTTCTTAGACCAAAATTTCTGTTTGTCACTACTAATATTTCTTACTCCCTCAAATCCCTATTAAAAGGCATATTCTAGAAGCTTTTTTTATCCCAAACATAAGTCAATAACTAACTCATTAATGACTTTTTTCTCATTTTACGCTCATCATTAATTACTAAGAGGAGTAGTGTTTTTATATAAACTCCTCATAATTGGTGCTTCTCTATCTGCATTTAAGTAAGGGTAAACTAGAAAAAAATTATTAATTTAGGACCATTTTAATGCTTTAACTTCTAATTCTTGGTATGTGAAAATTAGTTAAGAATGTCTAATAATAAGGATCAAATGGAGTAATTATTAGTCATCCCTCGCTTTGGAAAAATCAATGCATCTTTTGTTTTATTCGATGGGGAAGGTTGCGGCTTGGGAGGCATTGAATA